ATCACTCCCGTGCTGGTTCCTGATTGGTTGCTGCTGACGGGTCCGTGCGCCCAGCCAACGTGCTGGCCATCAGTCCGTGACAGAAAGCCTAGTATAGAACCACCCAGTCTTCCAGCATCCCGAATATCAGCCCTTTATACGCCGGGTACTCGCCTAGGCTAATAGCAACGAGGAGCCAGACTGGCTTACGCTACTTATACAGGCGCTCCTATAGTTCACAGAGCATCTATTGACAGCAGAGGTACGGCATATAGCATAGCTTATAGAGGCAACGGCCACTCTAACTACCGAGATAGCCAGGCTAGAAGCCCGGCTTACAAGCAGTTATACTAACCACCTCCGGCAAGCACTCGCCGAAGCTACGCTCCAGATCCGGCTACCGGAGGCCGGGCCAGCCGGGCCAGCATCAGGGCCAGGGCCAGGGCCAGGGCCAAGGCTAGGGCCGAGGCCGGGGCCGGTACCGGCCATGGCGACAGTTACAATGCCAGACCTCGAGCTCGAGCCGGCGTTGATAGACGACTTCCGTATCCCCAGCGCCAACGAGACCCTGCCCGAATACCGGATAAGCTGGGCTATCAAGACCGTTGAAGCCCTCTGGCAGGAGTGGATGACCGGCTTGCCGGGGCAACCGGCCGTCTCGGCACTAGATGCCCGGTGGGGAAGCCAGTGGCGAGCCGGTCGACGATCGGAGGTACAGTGGTACTCCCTCCGCCTCGAAGTTATCCGGGAGATCCGGCGGGTAAGCAAGTCCCGGCGCATCGCCGAGATCTCGGCGATGCATGCCGTAGCGGCGGACTACCGGCAGTCGAGCCGGTCGTTGGATGCCTTCTGCAAGCAGCTCCGGGCGAGCCGTAAGCTCTGTGAAGCCGGGGCCGGCCAACGGGCCCCGGCTAACGGGCCCCGGCGAGGGCTAGGCAGGGTATAGATATATAGATCTGAAGCTAGTAAATAGAGCATTTTGGCTACAACTGCGGCGATGCAATACGCTATATACGTTGCGAGCAATGTAGTCAGTCTTGCAGTATGCTGTGTTTGCAGGGTATAGGCGTGGATATTGTGGAATATTGCCAGCCACTGATTAAAGTGGGCCAAAATTGCGCCATTTTTGGATCAGCCGCCGGATCAGCCACTATGGGGCGGGTGTGGTTATCCTCCTGGGTTCTGACTGGCAGCGAAGACTACGGGTACTGGTCGAGCTACAACCCGCCCGAGGACTGGATGCACTCGATTCTGGGTGTGATTGGCGATCGCAAACTCAAACACGTCTGTATGCCGGGCTCTCATGATGCTGGTATCTACAAGATCGGAAGCACAGCTGGTGGAGGTCAGTGATTCTTGATTATTCGCGCGCCCCCAATATCGAAGCTGATTTGTCTGTCCTCGACACTGAGCTAACAAACTGGAAACCCCTTCTCAGCGAGTTCCGGAAACTGCCAGACCCAGGGCCTCACCATCCTCAACCAGATGCGGCGCGGATCCCGATACTTCGACATCCGCCCCGTGCTAGGGGACGGTGGGCAGTACTTGATGGGGCATTACTCAACCGAGAGTCTCAAGCTCGGGTACAACGGCGGTTCTCTGAACGACCTGGTCTCCGACACAAACAAGTATGTTTCTCTCTTTCAGCCCAGCTTCTCCTCCTACATCCTCCCTCGTGGATGCTGTGGCTGACCATTGGCGTGTTAATTACCATCTCGCTAGGTTCCTGGCCAACAACGACGAACTTGTGATCTTGTACCTGTCGCATTCCTACGACACGGACAATCCGTCATACCCTTCATTCACCGACTCACAGTGGGATGGGGCGCTGGATGTCCTTGAGAAGATCGAGAAAAAGTGCGCAAACCTGGATGCCAAGAATCTCACCGAGGTCACCATGAACGAATACATCGGAAAAGGAGGTTGTGCCCTGATCATCACCGAGGGTGGCACCGAACGGTCGTCGAAGGGAATCTACCGCAGCGGCCGGTTCCCCCGGAAGGACGATTTCTCCGAGACGAATGACCCATGTGAGCCAGAGTCAGGAATACCCCCTCGCTTCTCGGCGTGCAGCATACTTTATAGCGCCGGTATTCCTGCTTCAATCTGGTTCGAAGACGCCCTCGCCTATCATGATGTCCCTACATTGGTCTTCGAACTCTTCCTACTCGTCCCAGATGTGGATGCAGCAGCTCGAGTCTTGATGAGCGCAGGCTACCAGAGAGGAGAACTGAGCCTTGCTCTCAGCCCCATTCGCCAGTTCGACAATCTCTACACTCCAGTCCGGACCGAGAGCCAGCACCCGACCACTGACGCGGAGTCGACATCCCAATCTCCGGAGATCGATGAGACTCGTGTCATTCTGCTCCCTGCCAAGAAGTGGTTCCATGATCTTCCCGCTACGCCCGAGGACATGGCAGATTGGTTTCCAACACTACCCCAGCTTCTCACCGCGTTGATAGCGAAATGGCTAAGTTTGGAGGAAGGAGATCGGGATTTACGATTGCGCATTGCAGTATTCCTGGGGTATATCTACGAGTACCTTGACAGTGTCAAGGTTCGGGGTTTTGAACAGCAACTTCCGCAGCAATTTTGGGCCTTCCACTCGGATCAGGTGCAAGGAATCAATGCCGCAGATTTGGGGACATTTCGATGCCAGGAGCATTATTTGCGCCACATAGACGAACACCACCCTGTAGTGGTATAACGACAATGGAGAAAAACTCGAGCAATTTGAAGCTGTTCACGTCATGCCTGCATTGGCCCCTCCCACAAGGAACACCTTTTCCACGTCAAAAGCAGTCTCAAGAGCCAGCGCATACCCCCTCTGGTTGGCAACCACCCGCTTCCCCACCTCGTCGCTGAAGTCACAGCTGAAGTGGGTGTGGCCGAACGCCCACATCACCACCGACGGATTGGTCCAGCATTCTTCGGCACCGAGGTCCGTGGCGAATCCCGACATGACGGGGCTCTCCCTATGCCGTTTGTCCACGGCCCTCGCATCCATTGTCGGACTGTAGTGGGTGAAGATGGCAATCTGGCGCTGGGGCTGCGACCTCGATATCTCAGACACTTGCGCATTCAGCCATCGCAGGTCGGAGGCGTGGGCATCGACGTGGTCTCCGACCGTCCAGTTTTGCACCTGCTGGAAATCGATGAGGCGACTAGCTACCGCGGCAGCTTGCTCCGGTGTCACGCGCGAAAACAACGTGCAGCCCAGCACGGTGAGGGTATCGTTGACATCGTGCCGGGTCTGGTCGAGGAAAACGAAGCGTCCGATAGTGGATCGAGCCCGCAGCTGCTCCATCCTGTCGGCAAAGTCGCGGACTCTCCGTTTGGCAGCAGGCCAGCTGCATGAGATAGGCTCGTGGTTCCCCAGGACGAAGAAGACGTTCCAATACCAACGGAGCTGCTTCTGGAGGAAGACAAAGAAATCATCATGTGCTGCGTGCCCGATGTCGCCGAGGAGGGCGAGATTGGGGGCTGTCTGCCTAAAGTGGAAGTCGTACGAGGCGTGGGTCTCGAGGTGTAAGTCGGAGAAGATCTAGAATGTCGCTGGCGCCATGCTGCTGGGACTCTTCCGTAGTCTGGATGGGACAACCCAAATACGGGTTGGGGCTGCTTGTCGATGCTTTTGTGCCACTCACAGCGCTGCAGGTCTGGGCGGCTCGCTAAATTAATAACTGGCTTTGTTTTGAGTTATTTCGGATGATGCTTTTACGGGCCAATGAACGGCCTCTTTTTCCCAAGCAAACGCCTCGCCGCCCGCGCGGCACCAACCAACAGCGCAGCAGATCCAGCTTCCCGTCGATCCGGCATGTGCCGCTCGCGCTACTGCGTACATGACTTCGGCCCAATCGACAGTTGAACCCGTCACACACACGTGCAGACACAGTCAACACTAGTTGCTGCACTTCACAGTGCCGCAAAACCTACCGCTTGCGCCCCTCACTGTCGAGGCCGCCGAAATGGCGGCACGGGCCAGCCAAATTCGGCGGTTAGAACAGCAAGTTCTCGACTTGTGGTGTAGGATGAACAGTGATTTTGCCACGGCAGAAGCAATGGTCTACCACGTCATAGACCCTGCTGGAGACGTGGTCCTCACTCTCGAATGGCCCACAGCTGGCTCGTCTGCTTCATCCAACACCGATAATTCGCCGACACATTCTACATGCTCTCCAGACGAATCTGAGGAGTCTGAATCCCCTCGTTCTCCCGAGCCCGAAGCTCCTGGCCCTGTTGAAGCGGAACACAACGTTGAAGCGGTACACAACGTCGAACAACAGCCCGGAGTATCAGAACCGCCGATTCGCCTGTTCTCAACCTTTCGCCTCTCGTCGCGCCACCTTATACTGGCCTCGACCGTTTTTGAGGCTGCCCTTAAAGGCGGTTGGCAAGAGGGGAACGGTTCCAATAATGGTGACCTTCATATCTCAGTGAGAGGTTTTCACCCGAAAGCCCTGGAGATTGTCCTGGATGCCATCCACGGCCAGTATCGATGGATCCCGAAGACGATTAGCCTAGAAACGCTTCTTGGCGTGGCCACAATCGTGCACCACTACGGTGTCCACGAGCCCTTGCAGCTTCTGGCGCCGATTTGGATCGACCACCTCAGCGAGCATCTTCCCCAGAACATGGAGTCCGAGAAACTGGTTTTGCAGTGGATACTGATTCTTTGGGTGTTTAACGACGCGGGCCGATTTACACAAGTTACGCAGGTCGCCATGCGGTACGCCATTGGAGAGTTGAAAAACAAGGCCTCAATGCCCATCCCTCCTCAAATACTGGGTATATTGTCCTGCAGACAAGTATAAGTATCCTTCGAGAGCAGCGGAGCTTACGGTGAATTAAACGCAGATGCCATAAACCAGCGACGTAAGGAGATGATCGAGAAGATATTCGTGAATTTCCACGCTCTGAAAGACGATTTGATAGATAATGCCAAGGGCTGTAGCATCGCTTGCAGCACGTTGCAACTTGGCGTCCTGGTTCGCACAATGTCCATGTTGATGCTTTTCAACGACACATCAGAAGACTGCTTCAGCTTCTACTATGCCGCTGACATTATTCAGACAATCGAGTTTATCAAGTGGCCGTATTTCTGCGAGAAAGGCGAGGAGCGCTACGCTCGCTCCCGCGAGGTTCATGTGTGCCCACATAATGAACCTACTTTCCGAAGCGAGTGCGAGGCGTTGGTCGATGAGATCGAGAGAAGAATGACGGGGCTAGACCTGGGGGGTTTTGTTTCTAGTGCATTGTAGTCGGGGTCTGTCCATGTTGGTTTGGTCATATTTCCTGCGACCAAGACGTGTGCGACAGAGTCTTGGAGCTTGAGGAACTGGAAAGACCGCACGGGACTGCCGACTCGGGAGATATTTGATATAATTAACAAACAATTCCCGTGTTTTGCAAGAAGTGTATCCGCACTTAATTATCTCTGGAACACAAATCTTATTCAGGCGGTCACCGGGGCACACACAGTGGCACCACAGGGCAACTTTCAGGGGAAAACAGGCAAAAGAAATGCACAACTCCCCGTTCACCTGCATGGAGACCCAAGCAGGCACCCGGGCTTCTATAATTCTTCAATTTAGGGGTATAACAAGGGCTGTAATACAGGGCTTAGAACGTAAGGAAGAAAAAGAAGGTCAATATAGGAGAGAACCTTAGGCTAGGATCCCTAGGCTTTGACCTTCCTTTTATACCTAACAAAGTAATCAGTATATATAATAGCCTAAGTGTGACGGATCGTCTCTCAACCACACTCTGAAAAGATTCACTGAAGGTATGACGTAAGGGTTGTGATCCGGTGAAGCCAAAAGGTTCACAA